TTCCTAGGGCTGAGAGAGTGTGACTGGCCCAAGGTCACCCAGCTGGCTTCGTGTCTAAGGCTGAGGACTAGAACTCATGGCCTCCCAGTTTCTAGCCTGGGGCCTTAACCACTACACCAACCTGGCTCTTTTTCTGTAACAGTACTGTTTTTTGGATGAAGTTAGTCACACCTGAAAAACTCACCTATTACACAGAAAGGTTTCCTTGCAAATCGCAATCTTCCTTGCCATCCGCGGTATCGACAACAGCAGCCAGCAGACCAGATGCGTATGATAAATTCCAAACCAAAGACAACAATCATCACCGATTCCTAGGAGGAGACAAATAAGAAGCAGCTGGTGAAGTCAGCCAAGAGAACAGAAGCAAATTCTTGTCAGTGTTGGCTAATTAATCTCAAGCATCTGAAAAGTAATTGCAGGTGTTAAGAAAAAATTGAAATTAAAAAAAATCATTTTCAATTTTTTTTCACAGAGTGTTTACTTGTAGGAGAAAAATTACCAAAAAAAAAAAAATCTCTCTAGGAAGAAAATTAATATATCAGGGAAAAGGCTAAGTTGGAACTCTCTCTCTTAAGTATTTCTGATTCTCATATAAATTATATGACCGAATTATGCATTTCATGCTGGGTTATGCATTTCAATTAGCATGCACCATCATTTCACTGTCCTGTGTGACACTCTTTAATTGAAATTTCAGACTTACCATGTCAACTAGATCGAAAATGGCCCCTAGAACCATAGAATCATTGAGTTGGAAGAGGCCTAAGAGGTCATCAAGTTGAACCCCCTGCACACTACACCATTCCCAACAGATTACTATCCAGCCTTGAAAATCTCCAGTGAAGGGGAAGGAACCACTCCATGTAGTAACCTCTTCCACTGACCGACAGCTCTTACTGTCAGGAAGTTCTTCCTAATGGTCTAATCTGGATCTACATCCTTGAAGTTTCATTCCACTAGTTCTAGATCTAGTTCTATTTGGCTCCTTTTAAACCATATGCTGAAAGTTTGTGATGGGTTGCAATATCCAGATTAAACAGATCAAAGACGCCAGGCATTTCATATCCATACAACACAATAATCGTCTGACTTCCAATAAAGAATGACACCGTGCGGGGTCTGTGTGTAAGAATAGCACCCAGTGCATACTGTCAGCCGTACAAGGTAGACTAGATTAAGAATCAGATGCCACATGGCCAAAATACTTTCATTAGAATGGCTAGAGTAACACAATGTTGCAAGTTTGAATATGCTTCCCCCCCTTTTATCTTCATGTGAATTAGGGGGGTGCCTGCCTTAAGACATTTTCATAAATCTCTATTTTTGTATGGGCTTAAGTCAAGTTTATTTGTTTGTTGCCTTGGTAACGGAACTTCCCTCTCTCTGTCAAGGCCATTCTCTTTACTCTCTACAGTAACAGAGGTTTAAAACTGGATGTGCCCTGTTCGTGCCACATCTAAAAGTAGTTTAGGGAAGATCAATTTAATTTGGGGAAACAGCATTACTGGAAAATGCTTGATTTTCCTCCTACGACATCCTGGCTAGATCCATCATCCTTGTTTTTCTTGTCCAGCTATTTTTTTAAAAAATATAATTTTTATTAAGAATTTTGATTACAATAGTAAAAACTAATACAAACTAAACTTAAAGAGAAGAAAATAGAAAAAAGAACAAAAAGTGCAGGGAAAAAGAAGAGAAAGAAGAAAGAATATAATAAAAAAAAGAAAAGAAATAAAGAAGTGACTTCCAACCTTCATTGCAACAAGTATAAACAAATTTAGTAACTCTTTACTCCCTGTAAGGTTACAAACAGATCTCTTCATCCCGTATCCCATGCCTTATCTATAAGCAAATCCATAAAACATCAACTTTTTAATCCTGGTGTCAGCAAAAAGTCCACAAAGGGTTGCCAGAACTTTGCTAAAAAAAAAAAAAAGTCTTATTTTTAACCTTTATCAAACCAACCAACATTTTTTCCCTTCCTTTTACTGCTAACAATCTTAATCTTTAATTCAATCAAATATTGTAAGATTTGATTTCTATTCAAATCTTCTTTGTCTCATTGCACAGATTGTCAGGGTAGCACATACACTGCATTGTGGCATTCCATGTGCAATGCAACAAAAATAAACAGCCCACAGTCTGTTGTAGCAAACTATACACAGACCTTTACTGTACAATATTTACAAGCAGTCTACAGAACTTACAACTGTTCACCAACCAGTACTCCAATACCCCACAACAAACACCCATGATGCATTGGGCTATATGCCTTGGCTTGTGCTGTGTCATGTACCTGCCACACCCTTCAGGTGTGAGTACTTGGTACCCTGAGCTAGCAGAGCTGATGATGTAGGCAGCTCAGCTGTGCTCTGTCATAGATTTCTTCAAAGGTTTAATTGTAGATCCAATAAGAAAACATTTTCCAGGTCATTCTCTTGGTTTATCATTTGTATTTCCCTTTTAATTTTTAAAGCCTCAGCCAGTTTCTTTTGTATATCCAGCAAGATTTCTTCAAAGGTTTAATTGTAGATCCAATAAGAAAACATTTTCCAGGTCATTCTCTTGGTTTATCATTTGTATTTCCCTTTTAATTTTTAAAGCCTCAGCCAGTTTCTTTTGTATATCCAGCAAGAAGCCCTTTTCCAAATCATTCTCTTGGACTGTCATTTGCAGTTCCACATTCTGTACTTTCTCTGTCTTATCAGATAAAATTTGTTCCACATCTGTCATTCCTCCATTAACATCTTTTAGACCTAGTCTATCCACAGAAGCAGACATCATTATTGACAGTGCTGATATTGTAGTTACTAACTTCAAAGATCTCCTGTAATGTTTCCAATGTTATAATGTTTTGTGTCATTTTGTAAGTCCCAGTATTAACTGACATCAAGAACAGGCGTGGATTTTCTTTTTCATTCTGCTTAGAATCCTTGTCCCCTCTAGTGTCGAGGTTCTAAAATCAAAAAGTAACTTTTTGTGTCATTTTGTAAGTCCCAGTATTAACTGACATCAAGAACAGGCGTGGATTTTCTTTTTCATTCTGCTTAGAATCCTTGTCCCCTCTAGTGTCGAGTTTCTAAAATCAAAAAGTAACTTATCTTTGTTAGGGCTTTATAACAGTAGCCAGGATAGCCAAAATAAATT